GTTGGGCTGAACTTGTGCAAAAAAGATCTGCCAAGTCTTTTAATTATATATGAATAAACACAAGGAACAAGAAGCAAAAGAGCCTTTGGAGAATCTTTGCTGAAAGAGAACTGAGATAAAGGAAACTCCCTTTTGAGAAGGGGAAAATCCCACAGCAACAAACAACAAATACAGAGCAGCACCAAGCACACCCCATGTCCTCTCCACATTTACCAAAAAAATGATGGGAGAAGCTTTTGCTGCTTCCAGAGGATGCTGAGGATCAGGGACAGAGGGAATGAGAGGGGCTGGTTGTGGCTGTGCCTGCTCCACACTCGTGCTGAACCAACTCCCAATAACAAATCTCAGCACTGGGAACACGAGGATGGACTTGGGAAAAACTCACATTCCAAGAGAAAGGCAGAAAGTGCAAATAAAGCAGGGTTTTCTTATTTTAGACAAGGTTTTCTTATTTTAGACACTGTTTTCTTATTTTAGACACTGTTTTCTTACTGAATAAGAGATCAAACCTGGGATGTAACAAGCAGGAGAAACTCCAGCTTGGAGGAGCCTTCTGATGACAGCAGAGAACTGTGGTGGGGTGAATTTGTTTAAAATGGGATTAATTTGTTTAAAAATAAAGCCCTGGAGACATTTTAGATGTTTCCTTTAGTTAATGAGATTTCCATGATAGTAAAAACAAGGAAATTAGCAAACAATGCCCTTTAATCTCGGATTACAAGCAGCACCAGGGAAGAATTAGTAAAATAAATCAAGAAGATTTAAGGCACTTTGCTCTCCAGTGAAGTAGCTGGGATGGGAGCTCCGTGCTGTGTTTTCCTGGGATTAAGAAGAGGTGATCAGGATATCTAACCTGGAATATCTGAGCATGGAAATAACATTTTCTCAAGCCTAAACCTTGATTTAACCCATACACAGTAATTACTTATCTATGACCTATCGGTAAATAATTACCACAGCTTCACATTTAAAAATTCAAATTATTTCCAGTCAAAAGCCTCAAATCACAGCAAATTTATACACCCCACATTTGGCTGTTCTAACCAGCAGTATGAAACGGGGATAAAAAGACATCCCAAAATAGGATTACACAGAGCAGCAATAAAAGGAGAAATAATCTTTGAAGAAATGATGGAAGAAGAAATTCTAAGGGCATTAAGAAGGAACAAGTCATGGTTTCAATCACAGCCAGGCAGGAGATTGCTAATCTCATGTGTACAGCAGATAAATCTGGGAGGACAACAAATTGCATTTTAATTTATAGGCTGAAAAAGTTAATTTTTAATTCCCTCTACTCACCCCAGAAATCAGGGAAATGCAGACTGAAACTAATAAAGAAATGGAGTTCTCCAAGGTGGATCCTCAAAAACCCAGGGAAACATTTCATATTCAGTGAGTGCTTTTGGCAGGAATTTAAATACAATTCATTAGTTTATTATTTAAAAACAAATTTATTTTTGATTAGCTTTTATCATTTAAAACCAAAATGTGCATCGTGTCCCATCAAGATACCTGAAATCAAAGGAGCTTCATGATCAGCCCACAAATGGAGAAAAGGAGAGGAGAAAAAGAGAGAAAAAGTTATGAAAATTTATTTAAAAACTCTTCTTTGCAATAGCTAAACAGGGCCTGGTCACAGAGCACAATTCTCATCTCCTGCACAACTTCCAGGCAGTCAAATTTCCATTCTGACACTCAGACAACAAATGACTCAACATTTAGAGCAGTTTTCAACACCAGTTGTGCAATTAGACATAATTATTTATCCCCATTGAAACACTGCTCATCTCAAAAGAATTAACAAGTGTGTCCATGTCCTTCCTCCTGATGGTGAAAATTATTGACTTGGAGCACAGACAGCCTTTAAATACAGAATAATTACAATTTTCCACAAGTTTTGCTGGGTAATTGAGGAGTTTTGTACTTGAGTTCTGAGCTTGGTACAAAGCACTTTGGTTTTTAACAGAGGTTTTTTCCCTGTGAGCTGGGAAAATCTCTTGGAAGTGCCACCATGGATTCCAGAATGACAGAATCATGGAATTTGAAGGTTGGAAAAGCCATCCCCAGGGCTGCAGCACCCTGAGCCTTCACACTGGCAACAGCCCCAGGGCTCTGGAGGTGAATAAATATTAAATATTAATTATGTGCAGCTTAGCAAAGAGAATTTCCAGAATGTTTTTGCAGCAAATATATTGCATCTTTAAAAAAAAAAATAAAATAAAATGCTAAACTGTCAAAATATTGAAGCCAGGAACTTTCAGAGCTCAAGAGAGAGCCCAGAGTGGAGGACACAACCAAAGTGAGTTCCAGGGTGAATTTTCCAACAGCCACTGCAGCAAATTTTGTTCCGTGAAATTAAACACAAAAATTATGTACTGGCAATTTAAAAATCTGAGATGAATTTAAAAACTGAGTTTAAAAACTGGAGGCAACCCCAAGGATTTAGAGGAGTGCAGAGAAGTTGAATGTCTGGCTGGGAAACTCTCCTGGCTCAGTGCTCAGGACAGGCTTCTATTTTCAGCCTGGTAATTAAATTTCAGAGCCTGATGTTTTGTGGGGGGATAGAAAAGATTCCAAAGGTGCAGGAGGAGGCTGAGTCCAGCAGCTTGGCTCTTGCTGAATAAACTCTGCCTATCCAGCCACAGGCTGTTTAATGAAAAGGAAAACATGTGGAGGAGCTGAACACAATTCCCTGACAATAGGGTGATGTCAAAGCAAAAAAAAAAATAAATAAATAAGGAAAAGATCTCGGTGAAGGGTTTTTTTTTTTCTGAAGGAAACACAAAGCAGAGTTGTTTGGGTTTGGAGGGAGCAGGGGAGGAAGGATACAGGGGAGGAAATAAGAGGAAAGGATGAAGTTTTCCAGAAAAACTTGCACTAGATTTTGGCACTTTGTGGTGCTGCTCCAAGACCAAGGGCTGGATTGATTTAGGACTTTAAAGCACATAGGGCTGCAGCCCTGGGTACAAGGGAAACATCATATAAATATATAGATATTTATATATTATATAAATAGCCATGCACAGAGCATAAAGCTCTACTAAAATCCAAAGCTGGGTTTAGCATTGCTGAGAAGCTCCAGAATATCTCGAGGAATCCCAACATCTCCTGCTGCAAAGTGGGAGAAAACTTTGACTGGAAAAGGAAGCTCTGTCCAATTTATAATTCAAATGTGGGTGATGGAGCTCCTCTCAAGGTGAACAGCTCATGCTGTACAGACAATTGGACACTCCCATTAATGATGGGAATTTCTTGTGCATCCAAACCCCTTTGAGTGCAGCCAGCAAAGCTTTGGGGTGAGGGTGGTGTTATCCTGCTAAAGCTCCAGCCCTGAGCAGAGCCCATTTGTTTCCAGGATCAGTCGGTGGCAGATGGAAGCACAGGAATAGTGCAGCAGACACAGAGTGAGTGCACTCTTAATCCTGCCTTGGACCTTGAGAAATGAGGGTTTATTTTCCACCTAATGAAACTCTGGACACCATCAGCAATAAAGTCGACCGGAATTAGGCAATTTCTCCTCAAAACAGACTGTTACACAAATACCAATGATGAAACACCTCCCTCTTAGAAATTAGGGCTTTTGGGGTTAATTCCTGTTTTCCAAGGTGAGCCTGCCCTTTGGTTTCTGGACTAAAGTGATGGGTAAATTTGTCAGATTTTTATTTTCTTGCTTGGCAAGAAGCAGCAGTGAAGCTCTTCTGAAAAGCTGTGTCTTCCTTACCTTCAGGGCTCTCCGAGCAGGAGGTCTGCTTTTGTTTTCTCTTGATTACAAATACTTCATCCATTCCCAACCAACACTTTATACTTGACCAGATTCCTGTAAGCTCCTCAACCTGATTTGGAAGCATCTGTTTCCAATACAATTTGAACTGGAGGACTATTAAAAAGATTGGATTCAGACCCCAATCAAGCCAGAACCCAGGAATTGATGTCATGTGCAGGCTGGCACTGCAGTCCCAGGGCAGGGAATGGAGCGGGGGAGCTTTGGGGGCAATAAAAATTTGATTTTCAGAGCCTATCATAGAAAAGCATCGACAAATCTGTGCAGAATGTACTGTGAGGGTTGTCAAAATCAAGTTCTGGGGGTTTTGGGGTAAATAAATACTGCCTGGTTTATGTTTCCAGCTGGGGGCTGGAGCAGGAGAAATTCAGGAATAACCCCCTGAATCCCACAATCCACTCACAGAATGCACTGTCCCGTAAAAGAGAAAATCAGAATTTGTTTCAGGATGGGCCAGGAGCCACAGGTCAGTGTCCCCACCTCAGTGAGGGATTGTGTTCCGTGGTGCAGGAGGTTTTACCCAGCTCACCATCCAGGGCTTGGGAATGAGGCAGGAATTCCAGGGCCCATCTGGTCACTCCTCTGATTGCAGGGCCTGCTGAAATTCCTTTAATCAGAAAGACAACACCGACTGGAATCAGAACTTCTGGGAATCAGAACTCCTGGAAGAGTTCCAGGTAAATCTGGTGAAGAACTTGCTTTTGATCTGGAATGGATTAACACAAAATGATTGGAATCCCTCCTTGTCCCATCCTGGTTTATGGCTCCACTTCAGGGAGTTAAGCACCAAAATGTTTTCACACACAAACCTATAATTCTTCTTACAGAAAAAAAAAATCAGAAAATCTTCTTTTTGTACTCTTTTAAGTGTAAATCCAAGCTCTGGTAACAGGACAGGTGATTGTACAGCACAGTCCCAATCCATTCCTGTCCACCAGGTGTTTAAAGCCAAGGTACAAAAGTTTCTCCAAAGATTTTGCTTTTCATTTCTTGGGCACAAAATGCCAATGCTCCACCTGGCAAGAGCACAGCTAACAATAACTACTACAGTAGGTAAGAATATATTAATATAAAAACTCCCCAGCATGATGGGGACAACTTTTAGTGTCCACTTATCATCTCCAAGTTATAAATTAACCTGTTCAAAGTAGCTTTAATATTGGTATTTTCTATAAATTTGCTATCCTTGTAAGAATTACCATTATAGAATGGGTACAAATTATTGTTCAGGAAGATTTTATTAGCAGGTTAATAAAAAAGTGATTTAAAAAAAAAATCCACTTCATTTCTGATCTATTTATTAACAAGCCTACCCTGAATCTTTAGCTGTAACAGGAAGATGATACAAAAATGTCAAGGAACAAAACTCCAAAGCTCCCAATGAGCCAAGGAAGGCACTGAACAAAGCAGAGCACCCAGGAGGATTCAGGTTTTGGCATCTTTAGAACAAGGCTCAGTCCACAGGTGCAGTTTCCCATCATGGCCAAGGCAAAGGGCAGGTAAAAGGTTCCTTCTGTGCATCCTCTCTGGAACAAAACACAAATTTTATACACAAATTATTAAAATAGCGGTTTTAGAAATACAAAGAAATGTTAAAATGGACCCCACAGTAGCCAGTTAGAGATAATTTGGGTATAACCCATTCAGAGACTTTCAGTCATTCTTGTCCATCTCTTCCTGGGGCTCTGAATTGCTGAGTTTCAGCACAAGTCACTGAAAATTCAGGAACTGTTACAGTGCATAAATTTCTGATTAATGCCATTTTTGTGGCAGTGCAAACAGCAGGATTATCTGCTCCCCAATGGTAAATGGTTTTTAAGGAATCTCTTGCTGTAACAGTCAATTTAGCAGATGTTTTTGAAAATACTGTGGCATTCCAGGTAGAGAGGGAATATCAACAGGCTTGGAAATGAATGAATCATTTCTATAATCAATTAAAATACCTGTGTATAATTGACAAAGTAAAATCTTCTGGTGTTTTGATGTGTTTGTTGGGTATTTTTGAATATAATGATAGTGAAAAGGCTGTGGAGAAAGGTAATGGCACCTTGGTGAAAAGGTGATAAGATTTAAAACTAATCTCCCTCTAATTCTAACTTTTACTCCCATGATGGAATAGTTTGAGGAAAGAAAAGGGGGGATGCCACTTGCTCATGACAACAATCATACAAAACAGATTTCTGCTGATAAATCCAGCTACAAATATTCCCCCTCCCAATCAATCCTTGTCCAGCAATCAAAGACCAGCATTTTCCTAAAATTCTCATCATCCTTCTCTGAATGGGAAAAATATCCCATTTTTTTCAGTCACAAAAATGAAGTTTAGAAGGTTTGAGTTGAGGAGGGCTCGGTGTGAGGGACGATCCAACACTGGAAGGAACAGAAAATCAAATAAACAAGTGCCAAAAAGCCACTCACGTTTTTATGGAGCTGGGGGAATCTGCTGCCCAGGACACACAGCCACAAATGAAACCTGGCATTTCAATCAGATCAGGAGAGCTCTGGAAAAGAAAAGCACATGGATTTTGGCAAGAACGCTCTGAGGCATTTCAGAGGATTAAACTGAGGGACCACAGGCTGAGTTTGTGGACAGAACTCCTTTCAGGCAGCGCAGTGCTGCTCTTCAGATGACCAGAGAGGGCTGGGAAGGGTTTAATCTTCATCTCACAACAATGCAGATCAAAACTGGGGCCAGGCTTTGGGATATGACACTGATATCACTCCAGTCCTCCTGCTGAAAAAGCACGGGCACAATAACTCAAACCAAAACTAAAAACTGTAGCTCGAGCCACGAAAAAAATAAAAAATAAAAAATAATGAATCATCTTGTCTGGAGAAAGCAAAATACTCATTTTTCACAGTTTAAGAGTTGCTGGTTTTCTCACTCTGGCTGTGTTTTGAAAATAAGCTGCCTCCCTGCTGGGCTGTGCTGCTGGATTACAATTATTTCCCTGGCATTAGCAGGAAGGCCACCAAACTGCTGGAATGGGCTGTGAACTTTCCTGCTGCACCCACAGCAGCAGCTACAATGGTGATTTTCCACTTTTATTGATTTTATTTTATTTTTTTTTTTGTGGTCTCCACGTGGATGTTTACAGCATTTCCCACAGGCAGAGACACAACATTTATGTTCTGTTTGTTCAGAGCAGCGAATCCTCAGGGCCCAAAGGACACAGCAAGCTGCTGAAAGAAGAAATTTTATAACTTCTTTATTTTGGGGATGAGTGGGAAAAACATCCACATACGTGATTGCTAAATCCTTGTTAAAAATCCACCAGGATTTTTTAAAAGAGGAAAACTTTTTTCAATACACATCTGGCTGGGATTTTGTTGATTTTTTTTTTTTTTTTTTAAATGGGAACAGGTAAGAATTGACATTATTCCTTGGGATTGCTGGATTGTGCTGCTGGTTCCTGAGGAGCAGATGACAGAGGGCAGTGACACTCAGAGCTCCACACCCCACAATCCAGGCTGTGCCCAAATTCCTCAGGCTGGGACTGCCTGGAATGACACACAAACAAATTAGCTGAAAAATAACATCTGCTGTTGATTTGAGGTCACTTTGTGTTTGCAGTACAAATATGCAAATGTAAAGGTAGAATTTCATGTCTCTTTTTCTTGGCAGCAGTGGAAGTTCCACCTCTTTTTTCTGGGCTCTGTGCCCACCCCTGCTCTCTGCTGCAGTGCTGAGGGTGGCAGTGCAGGAACTGCTGAGGAACTCCTTGGTGGACATTGCTCCTGACAGGAAATTCATTCTCACCTTCTCTCTTCTATTACAATTATATATGATGTCTAATTCATTATTAAATAACAGCTAATAAACAAACCTGATGAATAGAATAGAATGTAACTTTCTTTCCACACATCTTGGTGATAAACTGTAAAATCAAGGATATTTGGAACGTGAATGACAAAAATCTCACTGAGATATTGATGCTTGGATCATTTTGGAGCAGGCAGGGGCAGTTCCGTGCTGCAAAGCCTGGGTTTGTTTCCAGAGGAGGCAGCAGGAAGGAAATCCCTCAGCATTGCCCTATCTCCAGGTTTATTATTATCATTTCCATACTGAATCTGCTTCACCCCCATTTAGTCTGTGGGGAGGCATCTGGTTTACTTCAGCTTTTTGTTACCTCTGCTCTACCATGGATTTTCTTTCCTATTTTTTTTTTTTTAAATTGATGAGTTAATGGGTTTGATTTGATACAATGTGAAGAGAGCAGTCTTCCGTTTCAGACAAAACAGTAGTCCTTGGGCATGCTGAACATTCCAGCCACTGCCAAGGTTTGCTCAAGCACAACTCCAGTAATTTCATTTCCCTGGAATATGTTTTTTTTTAAATGCATATATTGAAACAGAACACATGAAGATGTCAACATATTTTATGCTATAAGCAAATAAAGCCCACTTTCAATCAACGGGGAGGAAACCAACTGAACCCCACAAAGAAATGAGGCTTGGTTTCAACTCCCACATATTTCCACAAAAACCATGGAATCAGTTAAAATATGGAACCAGATCCCAAATGCCTATTGCATTTTTTATGTCTATATCAACTGAAAGTACTCCATAGAAAATATTCACAGATGTGTGTGGGTCAGAAATGAGAAGGAAGGGAAAACTGGAGGCTACAGGTCTCAGAACTCCAGGATTTGTACACTCTATTTTTGGATCCCTCTGAAATAAAAATGTATTTAGAGGCAGGAAAATCTCTCAATAAAGACTGTGCTACATCACGGAGAACATTTTATTGTTGTAAAAACTTACATTTTGTTACCTTCTGACTCCTGAGCATACAGTAAACAAATTGTGAAATCATAATTAGGTCCTTGCTCACATAATAAGCAGCAGTGACAATCTGAAAGAAATGAAACGTTTGCTTCTTCAGTAGGCAAATAATTTGAAATACCTCAACTGCACAGAAGTATTGCTTCGCAGTCATAATGTGAATGACAAACACCAAATCACTGCCAGAAATAAACACCACTGTAAATATTTGGGCAATTATGACTTGGTTTATAGATGGCAGAAGAGAGAGAACCCCCTGTTAAACACAGAAGGGCTGAGAATGGCCAGAGAGTTCACAGCTCCACTTAAACTCCTAAACTGGAGAGCTGAGATTCAGACTGACAGTGAGGATAAGGGAGCAATCCCAAAGCTGAGCCCACTGGACATACCTTGCTGAATTCCATGCTCACAAACATGACAGTTTTAATGTAAAGCTCTGCAATTAATATTTCAGCTCCCATTTCTGCAGTTCGACGGCTGAGCAAGCGTGGTTTTATTTCACTTGATTCCCAGCACCCTTTTACCAGGCCTGTAAATTATATCCCGTTTATGGGGACAGACTTTGAAATCAATCCCTTTTTTTTCCAGGTGTTTTTAGCTGCTGAGATCACTGTCCTTTTTCCCTTGTCATCTCCTACCTGCATGTCTGAAACCTGAACGCAGTGGCCCAGTGGTTCAGTGCGAGTGCCAACTCCAGGGCTGCTCCTGAGCTTTTCCCAACCCAAACTGAACTGGCAGGACAGGATTGGTGGGGAAGCATGGATTGAAATAAACCTTGAGCCAGCTTGAGCTGCAAGTGCACACACAACTCGGGGTGGAGAAGATAAGAGAGGAGAGGTGATTTATTCTCATTTGCTCTAAGTGGCAGAGATTAGTGTCAAGTCAGTACAACAGCACAGTACATCAAGCTCATTTGTCAACCACCAAATATTTTTGCAAACATGAACAACATGCTTCTCTGGCATATTATTCTATCTGTATTATGCAGATAGAGGAACATATCCAAGATAAAATTAAAAAAAAAAAAGAAAAAAAGAGGAAAAGGCAGCTTTTGCAAAAGGCTTCAGGCAAGATTACTCATGTTTGAATCTGAGAACTGCTTAAGACTTTCAACTTAGGGGAGTGCAGCAGGCAGCGAGCAGACAATGGAAGTGAGCCCTGTGACAAGGCTCCAGCACTCCCACACATCCCTGGCACACTCTTCCAGGAGCTGCCAAGTGCAGGGCGCTGCATTCCTGCCCAATCTGCTGGGAGGTGCTGGGAGCAGCTGAGGAGCCATCACTCCTGCACGGAGATCCAATCCCACGAGTGGAATTCTGCCTCCGTTCCCACCCCGTGCAAATCCCCAAATCCAGTTAGGGATGCTGAACATCCTCTGTGCAAAGCCCTGCACATCCAGACGGATGCAGAGCTCCCACAGGAACCTGCCAAATTCCAGGGAATAAACACAGCCACTGTGAACCAGGCATTACCCACACAATGCTCGCTCCTGTTCGCTGCTTGCAGACACAAGCTGGACTTCCAAGAAAGAAAAACACTTTGTGGATCCAATATGTAACACTCCAAATTTATCACTGCAGAAGCTCATGGTGGATGAGGGGGTCAGTGACACTGAGGGGTCAGAAATCTGCTGCAGGGTGAGCTAAAGCAGGGAATTTATTGGAATTTAAGACCAGATCTCTGATTTTTCATGTTCACTGTGATGCTAATAAAGACACAGTATTTTCCTTACCCAGATTCTTAATATGCTGCTCACTCTTAAAAATATATATATTTGTATAAAATATTTATCTATATGTTGGTTCCATGCAATTAATCTGGAGATTATGCTATGAACAAGAAGTTATGATTCATATTCCAGGTGAGTTTTAAAGTCACCAAAATCCATCCAGCCTAACCAGTGACTCAACACAGTGTCAAACAGTTTGTGTTATTTAACACTCCACAGGAAACACGGGAAGCATAAAGAACTTGCAGAAGGCAAATGTAGGGTGATCCTGCCCCCAAAATTCCCTAAATTATGCCACCATTATGCACCAAATTATTCAAATATTGAAAAAGTTTCAAGATTTGTTTTCACAGAGCATCATTCTCTGCAAAATTAGGACTCTTTTTGCTCATTGGCCAGAAACTCCTTTTTCTTTCCATAAGACTTCAGGGTTTTGTGGCTTTAAATGCTGGAACAAGTTTCCAGCAGGAATTGGCTGCCTCTCCAGAGAACTGTCATCATTGGACCTAAACCAATTAAACAATAAAAATACAACATACATTTATAGACTGAGAAATCACCTGAGCCTGGAGGATATATTCAGTTTATTCTGCTTATACTGGGAAAGTTATTAGACTTCATAGCTGTCTTTGAAAAAAGCTTTTAAAGTTAAAAAAAATGTTGCAGGTAGTATTTCAAGTATTTTTTTATACCATTCTGGCACTGTGCAGCTGAGCAGACCCACTAAAACAGGACATGGTATTTAAATTTGATTTTTGGGGGTTTTATTATTCAATATATATGCAGCAGAATATTTGTGTTGCCAGTCTCTGAGACTATAATTTTAGTATTAAAAAAAAAAATGCTATTTTTCTTAAATCTCTGGCAAAATGTCCTGTCCCAGGAAGAGCAAACCCAGGAACTCCACATGAAAAGAGGATAAGGAGACTGCCAGAACATTTCTTTGCTTCCTGTAGTATTGAAGTTGTCAGTGATGAGAAAAGCATGAGAATGCTTTGTGTTGGAAGGGTTCTTAAAGATCATCCAGTTCCAACCCTCAAATTATAAAATGACATTAAAGTGGTTTATGTTCCTATAACAATTCTTTGCTTGTAACCTCATATTCTTTCTTAGATTGCTGCTCAAATAGTGGTTACTTCCATATGGAAAAATTCCAGTGAAGGTGTGACCTTGGACCCTTGGCATCATCCCTTTCTGCAGAGGTCCAGCTACAAACAACACTGTTATGGTCCAAGGTATTTAGGAATAAGGAATCAATAACCTGAGCCTCTTGTTTAGACTTGTTCTCATTTTAATATCTTACTCTGGGGTGAGTAAACAAACTGACAATGGTTTCGAAGTGAAATCCACGTGTTTAGGAGCAGCTCAGACAAGGAAGCTTTTCCCTGGGATTTGGGAGATGTGCCACAGTCTCCGGATGCCAAATAACCAGCACGGCGAGTGATGTGTGAGGATGTCAGCTGTGTGTTTGGCTGCAGTACAAGGTGTTTAAACCGCAGATTAGAACAGCTCAAGCCCCAAAAAGGGGTTCAGTTTTACAGCGTTCACCAGTTAATTCCTGCTGGGGAAGGAAAAGGTGGAGCCGCGCTGTGGAGTAACCAGGGATTCTGCAAGAATGTCCCGGTATTAACCTGGTCACTGGGTTTTGGTTTAAACTGTTGACTGAAAGCATTTTAGACACTCCTGGTTGTGAACTCTGCTTGGCCAGTTTTCACCTGGAAACCAAGGTCAGTTCCCAGAGAACAGTCCCAGTTTATCTTAACCTGGGATAGAGGAAGGTGTCCCTGCCCATGGCAGGGCTGGGATGGGATGAGCTTTACGATCCCTTCCAACCCAAACCAGTCCGGCTTCTTTGATTCTGTGACTTTGGATTTTATGGTTTTATTAAAACGGTAAACCAAACACCAGAAGAGAAGGAAGTGCCTTTCTGGAGAGCGCAGCATCCCATCCCGGGGAGCCGCATCCCTGCGGGAGCGGGGTCCCGGGGCTGCCGTTCCCCTTTTCCCTGCGGAGCCGGGGATCGCCCGCGGGTCCTCGGGGGAGCCACGGGAACGGGAGAAGCAGGACAGGGGAATAACAACCGGGAACGGCGTCCGGAGCGGCCCCGGGAGCGGGGGACACGGAGCCGAGCGGGGCCGGCACGGATCCGCAGGGCTGCGGCTGCTGCTCCGGCAGCCGGCGGGCTCGCCTCGAGAGAGAGGAGCACCGGGAAAAGCGGGAT